ACTATTAGTAACTGGTACATTCCTCCTCACTATACCACAGACTGAATGTGGGATTACATGGCCCCTTCACTGAAAAACAAATGCTCTCAAGACACCAAAGCAAGAAAAAAAAGGGGAGGGGGGAAATACTTCCATTCCAACAGAAGCCATTTAAACCATCCGTTGAAGAGGCTGTGTGTCCTCTGCTTGAGACCAGCACCTCTGACTGACTATTCCTTTGCAGTGGTGGTGTTTTTAATTATTTGTATTACAGTAGCACCTCGAGGCCCCAACTGATATCAGAGCCAAATTTTGCTAGGTTCTTTGCATACACATGAGGGAGAAACAGTCCTTGCCAAAAAGAGCATGCAGTCTAAATAGAGAACATAGACACAGGGGAAACAGAGGTGAAGTGATTTGCCCAAGATCACACAGCGGATCAGTGGCAGAGCTGGGAATAGAATCAGGTCACCTGAGTCCCAATCCAGTGCCATATCCCTTAGACCACACTGTCCCTCTAGTTCTGTGGCATAGTCCCTACACTGGAGTTTCACTGGCGCCCCTCCGCCTCTTTGGGAGTTGCTGTGGCATCAGAGCAAGCCACAGATCATTCTGTTTTTCTTTTTGGAAAAGGTGTGTCCACCTGAAGGGGACTGGATTTGGCCTTCCTTGATGCATCATTAGGATGACATGTTGCTGAGTCTATTAGTGTTAATATGCTGAACAGTGGGAACCTGCTTATATGTGTAGAGAAGCCTGGAGAGCATGGGAGTTGGGAAAGCTGTCCCTCCTAGGAAAATGTTGTCGTCTGTCCTCTAATAAAGCAGTTGGCATTGTGTTAGGAGCCCACATGTAAACCAAAGCTCTGCTTCCCGCTCAAATATCACAAAGTCCCATTCCCCAAAAGGATTCAGGCAGGATGTTTGCCATTCTTGGAAGTCAAAAATAAATCAGACACCCTCATCCTCGGGGTACAACCTGGAACTGGTTGCTAGTGACAAGCAGCAAACCTCTCCAAGCACTGAATCACTCAGTACAACAGCACATGGAGCCCCACAGCCAGCTAAATTGCATGAAAGCTCCCTGCACCACTCATGAAGCACCCAGAAAAAGTCCCCAGCAAATCTCCCAAGCCCCCAGCCTTGTACCCCAGAACTGTACCGTCTTGTCCTGATCAGAAGCCTGACCAGTGTAAGTTCATTACCCAGTCCACCCCTCCCTCAATGTGGAGAGGACCCACACTAGCCTTTGTAAACTGAGCACTTTAACCAAAACACACTGTTTTAGGTAAAATATAAAACAGATTTATTAACTACAGAAAGAGGGATTTTATATTATTATAAGTGAAAGGCACAAAAGGTCAGAGATGGTTACCAAAGAAAATAAAAGGTAAGCATGCAGTCTTAATCCTAAACCTTATTAAACTAGGCAGTATTTAGATCAAGCAGTTTTTCTCACCTCACTGGATGTTGCAGGTAGGTTACAGTCCTCAATACATAGGCTTTCCCTTTAAGCCTGGGACCAGTCTCCTCAGTTCAAGTCTGTCTTCCCATTGTTCTTGTTGCTTCCACCATAGGTTAGCGAGGAGAAAGATAATCACATGATGCCACTGTCTCTTATTTTATACCCTCAGTCCATGTACCTGAAAAATGGAACATACTATCCCAGACATGTCCTGGTGGGCTTTGCTGAGTCCCTGAGTTGGGTAATCCCCATTGTGGTGCTTGCGCAACTCTCTTACAGAACTATAAACCTCTTATTTACAATACCCCTGCTGATTAATGGTTGTTTAACACCTGCCTGGGTGTGGATCACCTCCTTTGTTGTCACTGGAGAACTAGCAGTGGACGACTCCCAAACTGATAACGTATTTCAGTAACAATACAGCAACATGTCATAACTTCATACACACTAACGATATACATATTTTGACAGAATAATGAATTTCAGGAGATCATGACCTTTCATATGATATCTTCCATGGCATACTTTGTATGAAATAGCACACCTATATATGAATGATGCTACTTTGAGATACGGTGTGTCACATTCTCCTAATAAAAATTCTCTTGGCAACCTTGAGTGCCCTTGTCATGGGAGAGGCAGAGCACTGGGAACACAGCAGCACTCATTTAAGCTCTTGGCACCACCTTTCCCCCAGCCTCAGCTCCTACGTTGCGTGCAGCCCAACGAGATCCAAGGAACTAGCCCTATATGCTTTAAAGAGCTGATATATACTACTGTGAAAGTGACCAGTACCTACTGATCATTCAATGGGATGAAATCTCATATGACCAACAGTGCACAATACAGTGTTCTACTGATGACCATGTTTGGAGTTCAGTTCCCCATGTGGTTCTCTCTCTCCCCCCTCCTTCCATAGTCTTGAATAATTATAGTCTGCCACTTTAAGCAATTACAACAGAGTTTAGCCAGCTCTATCAAATCGTGCTTTTTCCATTCACAGCTCCATTCAACTTCACTGAATGCCACAAAAGAGTTTAATAGCACATAATGATACCTCACAGCTCAGCGTCATTGGCAACCTCCCTGGGACTGGAGGAACAGGAAAAGAATATAATTAAAATCCACATCTACATTGACTTTACAGCCACCTATTATTTAGCAAACCATGACTTTTAGCATTTGTCCCCTTGTGCTCAGGGTGGTTTTGTTAGAAGCAAAGCTTTTCTAACTTCTGAGGCTCCTCTGAGGCCAAACCACTGTACCCTGGACAAGTTGGTTTTGACAGGCAGTTGGCATGGTGTGTGAATCCAACATGGAGAGCTGCTCTCCTGTGCACTAGGTCACTAGGATGCTGATGGGCAGATCTTACCATGCTCAGAGGTGGGGAGGTGGAATTTGGCCCTAGAGCTTTGCTGTCAATGGATCATACTGTGTTCAGAGACTGGGAACTCATTAAGCGTACAAGGCTCTGGCAGGGAAACAGATTCACAATTCATATACTGCCAGAGAGGCAAGGATGTTGGCCACATGCTAGATGTGTAGTACACAGAAGGGAGAAAGAAAGGGTCTTTTTGCATACTTCTTGGCTTTGTAATGCTCCCATGTACTCTTTATCCTCCTTCCGTGCTACTGGCTATCTGACCTTCTTTCACCACCTTTTAAATGCTGCTTTGGGCCTCCTCCATTCGTCCCAACTTTTTTCACTTTCTAATCTGCAATAACCTCAGGGATGGAGATGATAGGGGGAGCATTCTACGCTCTATGATTCTGGGGGGACTGCATGGTCCCTTGTGCTGCTGAATTCGCCACGCTGACCAAATAGGAAATGAAATTAAAAAGTTCCCGGGCTTTTCCTGTGTACCTGGCTAGTGCATTGGAGTTCAAAGTGCTGTCCAGAGTGATCACAATGGAGCACTCTGGGATAGCTCCTTGAGGCCAATACCGTTGATTTGCGTCCACACTACCCCAAATTCGACCCAGCAATGTCGATTTTAGCGCTACTCCCTTCGCCAGGAAGGAGTACAGAAGTCGATTTTAAGAGCCCTTTAGGTCGACGGAACGGGGTTGGTTGTGTGGACGCAGTCATTTTTAAATTGACCTAGCGCGGCTAAATTTGACATAACCCTGTAGTGTAGACCAGTATCTGAAAACCTCATAATTTGAGGTTTTACAATTTGTGAAACTGATTCAATTTTATGATAAATTTCTACAAATTTTCCCCTTCTCAAAGATGGGACATTTTGGAATGAAAATGGGCCTGGTTTTACTCATGTATGATCCTGTTTTCAAGCACAGCTCTTGATGGTATTAAAATTCAAAATTTTGTTCTCACAAAGCTTAGTTTTTGCAATGAAACAAGCCAAATATTGAAACCACACATGGTTCAATGGGCAATTGCCATTTTGTGAAAATTTCACACCAGTCAACTGTTGGGAGGATAATAACATGGCTCTGAGCAAAAGGGTGAACTTTTCCCCCCAAGAACACATGCAAAATCAGTGTTTTCACATGACCCCGTAGCTTAGAACTCAGTCTTGATGTCTCAGAAAAAACCCAACAATCTCTCACTTTCTGCCTCAGAGGGAGAAATGCTGCAGCAATTAACATTAACAAGAGCCAGGAAATGGCCAAGGAGCATCTGAGCGAGAATTCAGAAACATCATATTGATGATTCTACCGTCACTGCAGAATCCAAAACAACGCTTTCCTCTTGGATCAATGGGGAAGCACTTAAGTGTCATTTGGTCTTTGGAAATATGGGCAGCGAACAGACAGGCAGCTGGCAGGAGGCAAAATAAAGCGTACCTTCCCTTGGAACCTTTCAGAATTGTAAAGCTAATTGGTCACGTTCTCACCCCCACACAGCAAATGTAGATATTTCCCCAAAATGCCGCTTGTAAGAGCACTGATACAGCAAAAAAAATAATTAAATAACTAAATAGTAGAGGAGATAGTTTTGCTCCCTGATGACATCAAAATGCTGTGAGATCTCTGGAGAGTTCATAAGTTTGCCCATATTTCCATCAATCCTCTCTGATGCCTTCCAGTGTCCTGTGATAGTCCACCACATAGGAGCCATTAACAAAAAACGCACATCTATAAACACCAAATTCTTAGTTGATTCTGATTTGTCACCTGTGTAGGACAGCAGGTATTTCAGACAGAGTAAAATTCAACCCAGTGTAGAGTCAGCACAAGGCCTATGCACCTCTTAATTCCCCTTATAGAGATCAGCTCCTCTATGATTCTAAGATGAGTCTCATGATAGCTAATGTTTTACTGCAAGCTCCAGCTCCTGGAGTCAGGTGATTGCATCTGACGAAGTGGGTATTCACCCACGAAAGCTTATGCTCCAATACATCTGTTAGTCTATAATGTGCCACAGGACTCTTTGTAGGTGATTGCATGAAAACCTCAGCTTTCAAGTTTCTAGCTCTAATGGCTGTGGAGCAAAGCCTGAAAATGTGATCCAAGTATAGCCAAAAGGAAACCAGAAGGCAAATAAGAAGAGCCCAAATTACTATTATTATTTTATTTTATTTGTAAATCTCATGATTTTTAAGCCCAACTGATGAATTTGGGTAGCTTGACTCAGGATTTTTAAACGTTTAGAGTTGGCAATACTATCTCTCATCTGTAAAAACAGTTACACGGTTATCCTTATACCAAAAGCTGAGAGGGCAAAACATCAGAAGCAATCTGAAATAAAAAAGAAATCAATTGTCCAGGGCTGATTACATCTACAGAGCAGCTACATGAACAAGTGGAGCAAACATGGGGCTGCCTTTCTCAACTGCCTCACTATGGGGCCTTGGGCAAGTCATATAACCCTCTGCCTTAATATCCCCCCTCTGCAGATTAGGTTAATAGTTTTCATGGCTTCTTACTTCTTAGTGCTGTTGTAAGGAATAATTGGTTAATGTCTCTCCAGAGCTTTGTAAATGAAGAAAGAAACATAAGCACTTTAGTATTTGGCTGGATTCTTCTCCCACAAGGCTTCTACCGAGGGGCAAATCCTCTTGGTCATGAAAGGGAGACAAACTCAAAAGTAGTGCATCCTCACAGTGCTTTGCAAATGCATCTCCGCTCTTTCTCCTGTGGCACTCGCAGCAGACTGTTCCCTAATACTGTGTGCAAGCAAAAAAAATCACATTTCACTTTATTTTGTACCTATTCTAGCTGTAAGCCTCAGAACTAGGAGGTTTGCAGGGAACAGATGCTCTCTGGCCCCATCTATAGTTGAAATTTGAGTGTGTGTTCCTAAATGCTGCCAGATTCATTAGCATATTAAGCTCTCTGGCTCCGCCTATAGATAAAAAGGAAAAGTTGAGAGGTTCTTACCTGCTACCAGGCATAAACTGAATGTGCTGCAGTGGACTTTCAAAAAGGGTGAAAGTAATTCTTTATGCGCTAAATGTGAAATCAGCTCTGGGCTGAAACTAGAGTAGACTGAGTTTCCAACACTTTTCTTCAGGGTAGGCAAAAAGTGCAAGAATGGATGGTGCAATGAACAGTACATTTAAAGAAAGCAGGGAATTTCCCTCTGCACAGGAACCCCTCAGGATCCACCAGATGTGGCAAACCTTACACTACATGGACTATGCATTTGTGTCTGGAGAAAATGAGTAATTTTTGATACAAAGCAGTGGCTAAGATTTCCAAAAAGGACTAGTGAGTTTGGGAACCCAGCATGTGACACCTTAGAGTGGCCTGATTTTCAGAAAGTGCTGAGCCCTCACCCTCTGAAAATCATTGTCTTTCAATGAGACTTAGGCTCTCGTATTTAGTGCATAAGTCACCTAGTGCAGGCACCTAAATCATTTGGGCACTTCTGAAATTTTTACCCTTGGCCACTGTTTCCGAGCCTTCTATAGCAGGAAATAATTTATATAATTTGTGCCAGCAGCAGAAGGGGGAGTGGAAAGCCAGTAACAAAGCTCACAAACCCGTTTCCATCTCCCTTTCACCGTTCACTATTTACAGCAAACGATTTCGGGTGAAATCCTTGCCCCATCGAAGTTGATGCCAAAATCCCATGCACTTCAAGGGGGCCAGGATTTCACCCCTTCATTTATAGATGCCCTTTCCCTCAGAGCTTCCCAGCAACTCATTTTGGGATCTGACTGCAGATGCAAATGGAAAGTGGCAACCACGGAAAAAGCCATGGGTTTCCATCACTGGCAGTGTTTTTGTCAGTGTTTGCTGAATGCTCTTCCTTGTCAGTAACATGTAATTTCTGTTAAATATATATGTTCCCTCCCCCTCAATCCTTCCACCCCTTTTTCTCATTTTTTTTTGAATGGCAGCTCCATGTCAGCCAAGAAGACAATAGGAGCAGATGACAGTAAAATGCAGCTCAGTACTACTTCTGAGTGCACAGAAAATAACCCACTCTTACCCGCTTTGATAGGTCTCTCCTCAGGCGTCAGAGAATGAAAATGATCCATCTGTCAAACAAAAGGTCTGATATAATTTTAGGATCAAAGGCTACGCTAGGAGTCCCAGATCATATGGAAATAGCACCATATTGACTTCATACAGATGTTTGTTTATATGGTAATAGAAAAATGGTTTACATACAGCATTGAATGGATGAGATTTATTATGTAGACTCAACTAATTCTGAATCAGAATTTGCCAACGGTATTTCACAATGAAGTCCATGCAAGCTACATTGATTCACACCAGCTGAATCATGAGTTATTTTCATGAGTTAAATAAAAGGGAAAGAGCATGAGAAAACATTATTGTGTTCCTCTTTATCTGTAAAAAGAGGGACATCTGTCTACCAGTGACAAGCCTCATTCAACCCACTCAGGGTTAGGGATAGTTCATTTTTAATCCAAACTTTGGGCCCATTTTTTGTGCCTTTGGGATATATTAAAAGTGATTTGCTGATCCAAGTTCCTGGGCGTTAAGGACCAAAAAGACTTGGGCATTGTTCACCATTGCATTACTGCAGTTTTATACTGGTGTATGATGGTTGATTTCAGTGGACTTATATCAATGTAAAATTGGAGTAACACAATGGTGAATCTGATTCTTATTAGGGTATATGTTCTATAACCTTTGCTGTTACAGGAGTGCTCCCTACACGAACAGAGAAAGGCATTAACAAGAACCAATGGCTAGTAGTTAAAGCCAGATAAATTCAGATTAGAAATAAGACACAAATGTTTAATAGTGAGGTTGATTAACCTTTGGAACAAGCCACCAACGCAAGTGGTGGGATCCCTATTTCTTGAAGTCTTCAACTAAAGACTGAATGCCTTTCTGGGAGATATAACATAAGTTACTGGGCTCAATATGGGAATAACTGGAAAAAATTCTATGCTGTGTGTCATACAGGGGGTCAGACTAGATGATCTAATGGCTCTTTTGGGCCTCAAAATCTATGACTCTCCAGTACTTTGTCCAATCTAGTAATGAGTCAGTGTAGAAACAGAATGGATATACCAGTAGGTCCAAGGAAGCTGTAGAACTAGGAACATCGCCACATGTAATGCAGCTACAGAATGCAGAGAGACACCTACAACCTATATTTTGAAATACTTCCTGCCTTGTGGTATGTGTGATGGCTCAGCCATCAGGGTCTTTTGGAAGGACGAAGGTGCGTTTGTACAAAACATTCTCCAGAACTCACTATGATTTCATGTTCCTCCCTCCCCTTTCAATTTCAGCTGTCCCCAAAACCTACCTGGGAGCCTTAGGTAAAAATGGGATCCAATTCTGGTCTCATCCACACTGATGCAAAATAGGAGTAACTCCACTGAAGTTAACAGATTCCCCTGTGTAAAACAAGTGGAAGCAAGATCAAGATTGAGACCCATTATCGCTCAACGCCAAAAGAAAGGTACCTCTTTAATAAGAGAGACCCTCCCCAAGCAATATTACCAAACATGCAGACAAATAAAAATAAAACAAAGGATGATTTGGGTGGCCATTGAAGTGGGACTTTGTTTTCAGTTATCAGCTTCTTGAATTCTCCATGGTGCCTTATAGGAAGTTTTTGGGGTGACTGCACTTTGGGGCTATTTCAAAGTGACTAGGCAATGTAGTTTGATCCAGTATGTGTGCCCCATTGCTACAAAACCACCAAGCAGGAGCCATCTCAGAGGTCTTAACACAAGAAGACCATTACCCTTAAATGATTCATTCAGCTGTGTACCAGCTGGCTATGCCCAGGAGTGAAAAGAGCCCAGGTAGTAAATAAATACCTTCCTCACAGTGCCTAGCAATGTCTTCTCATCTTGCTGAGAGCTGGCCTTGGGAGTTTGATTTGGTGACAATCAACCCCAGCCCTCCATGGGTATGTTTAACAGGAATGGGCAGTCTTGAGATTTTTGACACCCCAACCTCCAGCAAGAGGAGTTAGTAGAGATGCTCCCACCTACTTAACACAGTACCATGCTAAATTGCAATCTGAGAGTGTCTCTGTTGTCAGAGAAGGACATTAGGAGTACCAGAGAAAGAGATGATGCAGAAGAAAAATTGGCTTTGTTGAAACTCTCTTCCTTTCCCTCAACCCCCACCTTTAAAATAACTCTAAAAGCAATCGGATGCTGGAAGCAGCCTCCGCTAGTCCATCCCTCCTTTATCTGGAGTTAGCCCATGATCTCCCTCATCTGCCATCTCTTTCCCACTTTCTTCCTTTGTCTCCTTCCCTGCCTCCATTTCTCTCTCTTCTTCCCCTATTCTCCTGCCTTCTTTGTGCTTCCTCCATCCCCCATCTTTTTCGCTGTCCGTCTCACACGCGCACACACACACACACACGCACCAACCTTGCAGTAGCCTGAAGGGAATTGTCTTGTACCTAAACTGGGATCCTGTTCAATTTGCCTTATCAGCCACTGCTAGGGCCATGTGTTTTGTCTCCACTTCCTCTTCCCACTGCTGTGGATGTGCAGGTGGGGGCAATGAAGGTCAAGGGGTCGTCATAAGTGACTTATGATAATTGCAGGCTAGCAACTGCTCCGAAAATCTAAATTCCTCCCTGACATTTCCAGCCTAAGGCTCCCACTGACTCAGCTGCCGCTTGTGATATTTAAACAAGGATTATCTCCTTTTTGATTCTTTTCTTTTCGATAATAGAATGGCGGAAGCTTAGTTTAACACTTTCCTATGATGTATTTTGCTGTTGCAGATGCAGCTGATTTCAGGCCCCCTGCCCAAACTCTGACTTCCCAAGTCACTCATCTGGTATGAGGGGGATGGGATGGGCTCCCAAAGTAAAAACTAGGGATCCTTTCCCTGAGACCCTGTATATTTTCTTGCAGAATCCTCCCCCAATGCTCGGTGAAGCTGTAATGAGACATGCATCTCTCTAGTGTAAACTGACATAACTCCATTGTTTTCACCAGAGCTGAGTGATTTCTAATAGCTGAGGACCTGGCCCATTCAGTCTGGGGCACTCCACTCGATAATAAAAATGGATTTTGTGTCATGGGGATGAAGCATAGGACCTCCCTGAAGAGAAAGAAAGCTCAGGATGGTTTTTAATCCTTGCGAGAGTCAGAAGTGGATCAGGATTAGGGAGATACATAGACTAACCAAAGCTTTAATATGTTCTTTTACATTGCTCTAAAAACCTGGCAAATGTCACTGTCGCCCTGACACCAAACATCTCAAAATTATGACTGCCTGAGTGAGATTAGGGGAAAAGGGTGGAGCAGCTAAGGAACAGCCCCTGGGGTCCTCTATTCCCTCCACTAGGCAGGAGCAGCTTCTAATGACCACGATTCCTTTGGTGGGGACCCTCCCCTGTCTAACCACTCCCACTCTTTTTTTCCCCCTATGAAACTTTTCTAGAGCTTAAATGCTATCAGTGGCTTTGCTTTTTATCATCCTAAACCACTATCTTTACAATAAACATAAAAGAGCTGATCATTTGCTAGAGGCAACAAGGCAGTTCTGTCCTTCCTGGGCTCAGTGTTGGAAGTGGCACTGTCAATCTCCCTGTGATCCTCTGAGTAAAGGGGCAAGTTGACTCAACTTGAGACATGCAAGCAAGAACAGCTGGGGAAATAAAAATAGGCTAAAGCACCCTGGGGGAGGGGCAGCAGATGCCCTTCACTTCCTCCCCCACTCTGAGCAAGGCAGGTCTGATTAGTTAATGTTTTCCCTACCTCAAGGACCAGCCAGTTCCAGGTCTCCCACAAGAAGGTGTTGAGGGGAGATTCTACTTTAGACTGGTAAATTGGCTCTGGATTCCAGTCGTAGGCAATCTATCCAGAGATAGAGAAACAGAAGAAAAGTGTGACATTGTCAGTTTCTCACATAACCACCTCCACCTTAAGTGACTAGTGATTAAAATTGGTCAGGAAATTTTCAATGAAGTGGTTTTTCATTAAAAAATGCCGCTTCATTGAAAAGATTTCCTCGGGTCCAGGATGGAATTTTTGGTCAGGCAGAGAGAGGCCTACCCCAGAATAGCTAAGTGATTAGGGCACTTGCCTGGGATGTAGGAGACCCAGGTGAAAGTTTCTGCTCTGAATCAGACAGAGCAGGGATTTGAATTTGTGTCTTCCACATCCCAAGTGAACACCCTTCCCACTGGAAATAGTTTATTCTGGGATCTCTCTTGTTTTTTTCAATAAATGTTTTGAAAGGTCTAGTTTTTCTTCCAAAGCACAAAGAAAATAAATGTCTAAACCTTCACATTTTTCACCAAACATTAATCTCGTTTTCTGGACAGCCCTACCAGTGATTTTTGGGTGCCTGAATTTCTGGATGCTCAATGTTAGACACACTGTAGGAGTCTGCTTCTCAGAAGGTGAGTGCTTAATTCTTTCTGAAAATCAGACCCGTTTGAGGGTCTGAAGTTGGACATCTAAAATCACCAGTCACTTTTGGGAAATCTCAGACCTTGTTGGTTTGGTTCAAATAAGCACCCAACAGTTAGCCAGACTTTTATGAACCATAAAGATCTAGTGATGGGCCCAATATCAAGTTTGGGACTAAGGTTTGGTTCTTGCATTAGCCAGCTGCTTTGCCTATAGCTTAAGATTTTCAAGCTCTGTCATATTTTGGAAGACATGGGTTGCTTTTTTTTTCATTTTTCACCTTTATAACCTCATAGTTTAACTTAATTAAAATTATTGCCAGCAGATGTCAGCTTTTGCGGGCAAGGATTGTCCTTTATTATGTGTTTGCACATTTCTTAGCACAATGCCGGCCAATCTGGTTGCAACTAGTAGGCCCCACTGCAATATACATGTTAATAAGAATGTTCTTGAGGCAGAAGAGCTTACATTGGAAGCTCTTTGGGAAAAAGTCTGTCTTTTTGTTCTGTGTTTGTACAGCACCTAGCACAGTGGGGTTCAAGTCCAGGATGATGTCTCCAAAGTGCTACTGCAATACAAACAATAATAATCAGCACAAATTCTAGGCTCACCTCTTCCCAAATTATCTTTACACCTGTCCAGTGCATGCTCCGAAAGGGTTGTTACCCCAGAGCATGCTGGTCCCTTTGAAATGCTGGAGAATTAGCACTTCTTTGCGTAGTTTTTTCACTAATGCTTAGTAATGTGAGAGGGATTGTTGTGCCTGATAACCTGTCATTAGGACACACACTAAGTTGCCTCCTTCTCTGCCTACCAAATCATCCCTTCAAGTGGTCTTCCATTAGGGAGAGAATGGGAGCCATTTATTCCTGAAATTGGCTGAGAAATAACCTCGCAGGGGTGATGAGTGGGGCGTTCCTGACAGGAACGTGGTGTAATTGCAGCACCATCAACAATATCAGCATCCGTGCCTGGCGCTTGTTTTTTTGCAAATTACCAAGTGAAATCCAATCATTCCTCTTGGTTTTTCGAAAGGAAATGAAGGGATTAGGATGCAAGAAGGGGGGGTTCCTATCTATGATGAGACACAAGAAGGGACAGGCTAAGTATGTCTGTATGTGTGTGTGCATGTGCAAAGAAAGAGATGGGGGGAGGAATGCAGGGGTTTGTCGATGAGTGCCAGCTGTGTACTACCTCTGTGAAAAGGGCATTGTGTGTTGTGCAACAGACAAGGCACAGCAGAACCTCCTGGGTTCTCCTCTCCATTACAGTGGTGCAACTCCCTGGAAGCCAACCCCCCTAGAAGCAGAGAAAAGACTGATTAGATCTGGTTTGGGGTGGCATTCACAGATCTGTGCTGGCCTGATGTTTCAGAGGTGGAATTTTCTTTCTTTCTTTCTTTCAGATTGCTCTTCTGTCAGGCTGATGCCATTCCACGCTAGGGCACATACAAGAATCGCTAGACAGCAAGGTCCCGGCTAACAAGGGAGCCTACATGCACACAAGACACGTTGGCATTTGTTTTTATGGTACACGTTGCTTTGCTGACTTTAAGAAAACCCATGCTCAGGCAGCAAGAATGAGATGATTCTTAGAGCCCCCATCTTACATGGCACGCAGACCAGGTTCTGTCTGTGCAGAGTCAAGTGCACACGCACGCAGCTCTGACGTAAGGGGCTGGAGGGGAACATGTGTCTCATCACAGCCCCTATCACACTTCCACAGTTGGGCAAAGCAAACACTGCCCTAAATGGAGAAGCTCTTGCTGCTCTGCAGATAAGCAGCTCAGGGCAAATGCAGAGACAGCTGCCTGTTGTTCCCTGCCACCCGTGACGCAGTCCCTCCTTTCAGCCTGGGCAATGAGTGGAGAAGGTCTCAATTAAGCCCCTGTTTGATCAGAATCAGTGTTATTTGGACTGCATTATAACCGAGGCATAAAAGGAAAGGGCCAATGAAGCCAGCAGCGAAGGTCGCCTCAGATTAACAAGCACCAGCTGGTGTAGCCCTG